GGATTCAGTTATTAAAATTTAAAATAATATCAACTTGGCTGTGATCATTTACTAGTTGAAGACCCGCCTAGATTTGTAAAATAAAAATATGAGTTTAATCATAAATACAAAAGACAAGAGATCAATTCTGTAATAAATATTAAAGGTGTCAAATTATCTTATGTTCTTTATCTCAGAAATTTTAAGTAGGGAATTATATACATTATAGGGCAAAGTATAGAAATTAAATATACAATAAGAAGAGGCTAAGAAATTCATCAACTGACCTATTACATGATATTTTGAGTCAATAAAAATAGCATGTCTTTCTCATGCTTCTTTGTTATCTCATAGCCCAGCACTGTATAATATATATTTTAAGTGTTTAATAAATGTTTGTGAAATTATGTGAAAAAAGATGTTTTATTTATATATATTGATATCCATACCACACTGTTGAGTGAAAAAGAACATATTACAGATGAACGCATACAACATGATCTACACTTATATAAAATTATATAAAATATCTGGAAGGTTTTTTCTTTTTTTTTTTTAAACTTCCTTTTTTTTTTTTTTTTTAAAGATTTATTTATTTATTTATACAAGCACTGGGTATAGTCAGAAGCGCAGAAGGGTAAGAGAATTCACCAGAGCCAGAGCGGGGAACAGAACAGGCAGACTGATGAAGAAATACACTGCTTAGGGGAGCAGCGGGCACAGCAGGAGAGGTCTGTCGCGCCATGTGGGACCCTTGCCGATGGCTGGGGTTCGAACTGGCACTGCAGAAGCTGCGGGCAGCTTTGCAGCCCAGTACTCAACTGCTGCACCACCAGGGGAGGCCCTCTGGAAAGTTTTTTCATAAAACACTGGTGCAGTCCCAGATGAATTTTCATCTATTTTTTCTTTCTGTAAATTGACTTGTTCTACAATGAGAATGTTTTATTTTTCATGATGACAAGGCTAACAATATTTAGAAATAGGCTGTGGGATTTAATGACAGAGATTGATAGTCACAAAATATTGTAGAGTGACAAAGCACTATTATTTACAGTACGGTTATATTCTTATATTTATAATCATATATCTATATGGATAGAAAAAAGACTAGAAGGATACATACCAAAATGTTAATAATAGTAATACCTGGTAGGGTTTTAGGTGGTTTTTAATTTTCTTTTTAAAGACTAACAGAAAATTGAACTATATTTTAAGTACAAAATTTTAAAAGATTAAAGAAACTAGAGATGAAAAGTATAGAAATTGAACAAATATAATTTAAGAAACTCATTATAAAGCACTTGTATTCATCAGGTCAAATCTTGTCCCAAGCTTATCTAGTGAATAGTCTCATTAGCACATAAAAGACCTGAAAAATTAATGCTAAACAGAGTTTTGCCGTCTTCCTCTGTGCAAAAGCAAAATTGGAGAAGACATACAATGTGGATTAAGGACAGAAATAGGTGTCAGTGATTCAGGGCTCAAATCTTTTCTGTACTAGTAATTACCCTTCTCTGAGCAAATCATAATTTTTTATTATCCTGGTTTATTGATTTGGAAAAAGAGCAGTGAAAATACTGACTTCTTCATAGGGCTGCTATAAAAAGTCACAGATATTAAGTACTTTGAAAACACTCAGCCAAGGCAACTCACTTTGAACGCTTTAATAGTATGTGGCGAAGTATTTTACTATCTCTATATCCCATGTTAACAAGGGATTTAACCTACTAGTTCAGTTTTACATTTTACCCCTGGCCCCATGTGAATATGGTACTGTTCCGTTTACGTTATTTGTTGATTTTGCCCATTCATCATCTACTTCACCACTTTTTCTGTTTTTCTTTCTTTACTTTCCTTGGGCATATCACTTCATTTTTTTTAAGCCTCAGCATTCTTATTTGTCCAAAAAAAGCTACATTAACCCCGAAATGGATTAAGCAGAATGATGCAGGTCAAGGTCTCTTAGCATGGTCTCTGTGAAACTGTCCAGTGACGTGCTCTGCCTTTCCTTGACCAAGGAGTCAACAATGGCCCAGTCAGGCCAACTAGGTCCACTTTCCCAGGGTGTGGAATGACATGAGGGCCCAGGGACCTGGGGTAGATGTGTACCAACAGCACGGTCTTTGATTGCTGCTGCTGCAGGCCTAGGCTTTTCAAAGATTCCTTCAATTCTCTGAGTTTACCCCATAGTCTTCTGATGAATTCTTGTATCCCTTAAGTCAATCACAGTTGGATTACATTATTGAGGAACAAACAAATGTAGTTTATCTAAGAAGCCTATATCCTACCTCCTTGAAGTGAAAGGAGGATTAAAATTTGAGTTCTTAGCATAATTTAGAAGCACTTACAGGAAAAACCTGTGGGGGTAGAGCCCTTTCTGTTTGCTTGCCTGAAGCAGGATGAGCTCCTGACCTCCCTGCCATGGAAAGAACAGTGATTTTTTTGTTTTGAGACTCTTATTCCTCATATCTAAACACTTGACTTAAAACCCCCAAATTGAAAGCCTCTAACTACATGTGGCTATTTCAATGTAATTAATTAAGCCTAAAAAAAAAGGGGAAAAATTCAGTTCCTCCATCATAGTGACCAAATTCAAGGTCAGTGGCTACTGGGCTAACACAGATAAACAACATTCCCATCATTGCGAAAGTTCTATTGGACACTATTGATTTGGTCACAACAAATAATACTTTGATTTTAGGCAACTGAAGCACAGATAAATATGTAGCATGCAGTACATTGTCAAGAAATGTTCTCAAATTCTAATTAAAGGAATAAGTTGTGAAGAGAAACAGTGATACACCCTAGACTTGGGTCTTAAGAGGTGCGTGAACACTGGCACTGACATTTTTCTGGTTATTAATTTTTTTTTTTTTTTTTTTAGCCTCAGAGTACTCATTTGTAAAATAAACCTAACCCAAACCCAGGAGACTCCTACAAGGATTAAGTGTCATGGTATAGGGCCTCCCCAGTGGCGCAGCGGTTGAGTGCTGGGTTGCGAAGCTGCCCACAGCCTCTGCAGCGCCCGTTCGATCCCCGGCTGCTCCCCGGCCACCAGAGGAGGGTCCCACATGGCACGCAGACCTCTCCTGCCGCCCGCTGCTCCCCTCAGCGGTGTCCTTAGGTCCTTCTGCCTGCTCTGCTCTCCGCTCTGGTGAATTCTCTCACCCTCCCGCGCTTCTGACTGTACCCAGTGCATGTATAAACAAAAACAAACAAATAAATAAACATGCCTCTTAAAAAAAAAAAAAAAGTGTCATGGTATAGGGCAAAGTGTGAGAGTTGATTCCAAATAGAACAGTGAAGAAAATCTATGCTCTTGCAGGGTCAGGGGTGAAGGAGGCAGTCTGAGGACATTTAGTAGTGAGGCCAACACCGGCCATCCTGGATTCCCTCTCCACTGAGAAAGGAACTAGAATTGGACATCACTGGTTTTCCTTGATTCTACAGTTCTTTTACCCTCCTTCCCTCTCTCAGTATTCTCATGCCCCCCTATCTGGGCATGACATGAAATTTCCCTCTAGGAGACTTATAAAACAAACACAAAAACAACACAGGAGTCTGTGAAATGAAAGTTCTCAACCAACCCTGAGGAGAGAGAACAAGCTAATAAATGAAGAAATCAGAACTGGCAAGAATAAAAACAAATATAAGTTCAGTGTTTGGGGCTTTGAGTTGTAAAGATGACATGATCTGGCCCACAAGATTCCCTCACTCTTCTTTTGGTTTTGTTTGCCTTAAGCTTATCATCAGGCTAACTTTTGGAGGGAAAGCCTAAACTCAATGGTGGATGTATTTTTTGTATTTTTCCTTCCAACAAATCTCAAAGGTCTAATAATGATTACCATGTATGGAGTTAAAAGAGCACAGAGAGGTCCTGAATGTGTTAATTTGACTTGAGAAAAACTGAATAGGAGCCAGAAAGAATATGTAATATATGTAAGTCTCATTAAGCTGTCATTACTTGCAAGGATAGTTTCCAGGCAAATAAACACTCAAATCTCACTCATGCAGCTCCCTCTAAATAAAACATCCAACTCAAGTCTCCCATTGTCATGCATTCTGTTGACTTTACAAAGAATATGGGTGAACAAGAAAATGAGAATCAGGTAGGGCAATTCTAACTCTGAAAAAGGAAAACATGTCAACACTGATTGGATTGTGCAGAAAAAAGAAAATTGTTCTTCAATATTTTTAACTGCTCAAAAAGGGGTCTAAGTTATTTTAAAAATAAAGCAGAATTGGAAAATAAACTTTCACTCCTTTCACATGACTCCCAAAGTTGAGGGTGTGACTTATTAATAATATTCACTTTTTAAATTCAATTTACATTTTCTTGATGCTCCGTCTGTTCCAGACTCTGTGCACCAATTGGCCAACTCAACAGACGATTGAAGAGTTGCCTCAAACAAACTTTGTGTCCAAGCTGCTTAGAGGAACTAACATTAAAATTTCAAGTTTTGTATCTTTGATTTAAGTTAATGTGATGGTAAAAATAGCAATGAAGGAATATATTTCTGTACCTAGAGGAGAGGATGGACCAGGACCAACATGAAAGAAAAGCCACCCACAATGATAATCCGTGTTAACCTCAGCCAGTTAGCAGTTTAACTCATACTGTTTAGAGGAAGAACATAGCAGGTCATGGACCATGCTGCCTGGCGTCCCGCAGAGGTATCCTGTCCCCAAGGTGAGGGAACAATCTCTAATAATATTCCCTAGTAATAACATAACCTTCTCCAGCCTACCTCCCAGGTGGGCACACTTCTCATCAGCATCACTTTCCTGAAACAACTTGGCTCACATTTCTCTAGAAGGGTAACAAGGGGGAAATCCTTAAACATGGCATGGGCAAACCCAGGGAGAGCATTGTCTATGCCTGGAAGCTACTGATGGCTTTGCGTTTGACAAGAGTGAAATGCACAATACTGACTGGGACTTACCTTCAGAGAATGAGATGACATAAAGGCCACCATGTGTAGTGTCTTCAAAGGAATAGAGACGTTTCACAAAAAGGATATTGGGCCACCAGGGCTGGGCAAAGCTGGGTATTTGGCATAAAAACACAGTGCATCATAACAAAATCATTTAAAACAGAATCTGTGAGGGGAAGAAAGAAAGCAGAGCAGACAGGATATTAGGTTCTTGGAGAAATATTTAGGAAGGCAAGAATATGTATTCATATGTTCTTGGCCAATGGTTCTTAATATATATATATATATATGTAAGTATGTATATGTATGTGTGTGTATATATACTCACATAAAACTCATAATGTTGACAGAGCTTGAGACCAAAACTCAATTTCTTAGGACAATGGATAAAAAGTATAGTGTTTTAAAAAGAGACAGGTGTGTACAAATGGCACTGGTCACCTTAGTTGCGATGAATTCTTTGAAAGTACATGTAATTAAAGAGCCACATATAGGCGATGCCCTGTATGCAGAAGCAAGACATGTTTCTTTGTCTAATTTATACCATATGTCCTTTGTCAATCTCGCTTTTCCTTTGCCTCTTTCCCACCTCTATTTCTAGAGGGAGCAATGAAGTATGAGAGGGCGACAGGATTATGGAAACAGCAGGTGGTAAGAGCAGAGAATTGGTGAGCAAAACAAAGTGGGGTGGGGGGGAAGGACAAGATAAAGACTGCCTGCAGCAACTGAATCAATACAGAAGCTCTCGAGTTGCTGAAATGGTGAATATCTTATATTCCAACTTTTTTGTAGGTAGGTAAGAAGGGAGATTGCAAGGGAAACTAGGTGAGTCCCAAAGATAAACTTCGTTTCATTCCTTTTGAATTTCATGCTGGTTCTTCATGGCCACTACAATACCCTCCAGTCAGGCTTGGTGGGAAAATACAGGAAGGGAGGCCTAAAAGCCTTAGGAATATACCGGTTGAACTTGGTGCACAAGATGCTAGAGGGGTTTCCAATTAAATAATGAATATACTGGCCTACATTCATGAAGCTCATGTTAACTTTTCAAATAAAATGGTGAGAAATATGAAAGGTCAGCTACCACTCCTATCATGTCATATAGAATCACTATACTCATTTAAATACAGGTGATGGATATAGTCTCAAGCTGACATTCTGTTATCCCTCGTTGTTTCAGGTTGTTCAGTCCCATTAGACTGAGCAGGATAAGAAACAGAGAAGGTGCCAGATAGAAGCCATGTGAGTCTTTTTTTTAAGTACAAAAGGACTTGTCTGAGTTTAAGATCTAGAGTCACCTTTACATGTTTCAGACATTCTCTGAGAATAGAGTAGGTAATGCTTACATCTAAGGCTGCTGCCAGAATACCAAACTATGTAGTAAGTTTTGTATAAGGAGAGATCTGAGTTGGGTGCACCAAGGTTGGGAGCCGGCCACTAGGCCACTCAGCCACCCACTTTTCAACCAGACACCCAGACACCCTGCACCTACATTTCAATGTGATTTTCTTGTTCTCTACTCATACACTGTTAACACTTGAGAACAGATTTTTTTTTACTATTACAAAGGTTTGTTTAAGAAAAAAGTTCAATAAGAAAATGTGCATGACCCAATTTTTAATATCACAGTAAAAGATGCTGTGGATGTGGGATTGGTATCTCTGGTGAACATGTTCATTTTTATACTCATTCCAAGGCTTCTAACAGGGTGCTACTATTTCCTCACATTGACACCACTCCAACATTGTTCTGTTGCCCCACTAGCTGCCATCTCCACACATTCACCCATCCCAAGATTCAGAAAGGGGTCAGATCCCCACAGTGTCCTTGGATATGTCTGCACCATTTAATTTCAATGATAACTACTTTTGTCCACATTTTTTTTCAACTCAGCAGGGTGAGCTTTGCTCATGACCTCTACTTTGTGAGCTCAAAGATGTCTCTGGATGAAATTTGTGGCCTCTCTCCCATGGTAGCTCTGGCCTTGAGAACTGATTTTTTAAAATTTATTTTAATTTATTAATGCATACAAGAACTGGGGTGCAGGCCAGAGGTGTGGGAAGAGGACTCACCAGAGACAGTGGGGAGCAGAACAGGCAGATCTACTGAAATACACTGCTGAGGGGAGCAGGGGGCAAGTCAGGAGAGGTTTGCTGTGCCATGTGGGTAGCTCCCTGGCCAGGGATCGAAGTCGTGCTGCAGTGGCTGTGATAGCTTCATAGTGCTGGGACTTACCCCTTGTACCAACAGGGATACCCATTGAGAACTGATTTTTTAAAAATCATTTCCCACTGCAAAGTCATTTCCTAGGTGATTTGATGAATAATGCTGAACACAGAAGTAAAAAATCTAGGAAACTAATAGGTCTCAGGCAGAAAATAGATGTTTTAGTAAATCAACAGAATGTACTGTCAAGTCTAGGTGTGTTCAATTCCATGATGCAAACCAGTTTGCTGTGAACACTGAAATTTCCAGTGTACTTTAATCCATAAATACTAAGAGTCTCGCCCCCGACTCCCCCCACAGCATCTGTGAGTTCCATGGTCCTGCACTAGAATTATTTTTAGTGTCCAGGATGACAGTGGCACACATTAATTAGATCTGGCACACATTAAAAAGATCTGATTTATGAAAAGGAAACCGATTTATTCTTTATCTCCAAGCCATGGACAATACTTGTAGGAAAAAATAAATCAGGAAAAATGGCTGGAAATGAAGTTCTATATTAAATTATGATGTTAACCATCTTCTAACGTCAAAAATGGGTTAGGAATCAGATCCCATGTGCAGCCACAGTGATTTCTAGCCTTCAATTTTTTTGTGGTTGTTTATGAAGCAGTAATCCAATCCTCATCTCTTAGTGGCTACTTTAAAAGGAAGGATGCATTTGTTCTTCATGGGTAGTGAAGATCTCACAGATCATGCCTTAGATCCCACAGTCTCTATGGCTTTTTAGTTAATAGTCACATAAGTGAAGATGTTGGTGTGTGTATTTGTGGCGTTTTTTGTTTTGTTTTGTTTTTTTGCATTATATGCTCATAATTTCTGGGGGGGGGGAATTAAGAGGGGGGCAATCCATTGTATTTCCTCACCTCTGGTTCCAGAAATTTGCATTATTTGTACTCCTCTTGGAAGCAAGCAATGCCCTGCTGAGTTTTCTTTCTCAAGTATAGTCCTTATTGCATCCTCCTCCCTCAAACATTTCCATCACTCCCCAGTGCTTAGCTTTGCATGCCAGATTCTTACCCTTTACCTTCCTTGCCCAAATGGGAGATTTATAAAATATACATACGAAAGTACACACTTAGCCTAGCAAAAGCAGACCACTTGCGGTGCCTTGACCACTTCTAGGTCACTGGTAATGTTGTCCCCTTAATATAAAAAGTTTTGTCCTCAATCCCTACTTACTGGACACCAGCCTTCCTGCAGGGCTACTGCAGGTTACAGTCCACATGCTGCTTTGCTTGGTGCCCTCAGCTGGTGAATGTTTATGACCACACTGCCTTAAGCTCTCATTATCTATACATTTTTTCATGGTCTCTAGGAGGTTACAAACTTTCTGAGGACAGGACGGTGATTTCTTGTTCACATTGCCTAATTTCATGTTTAATGCCTGTCAGGCAAGATACTCAACACTGAATAAAAATTCAGAGGTCCTGGCTTTCTTATATACTACTCCCCAATTAACTCATTACATTAAAAAAAAAAAAAACCTTCAGCCAATCTATTTATAAAATGAGAAACTGGAATGAAGAGATAAAGCAATAAATTAGTGGGAAAACACATTTTAGGAGTTATATAATAATAGTAATGATGCCTTCACCTTGGTTATATTGCAAAGATAATGATAATAGAGTTTGAACTATCACTAAGCTTTTGAGATAAGTTTTTGGACTTCCTTAATGAGAAATGTTCTTCTGTGGACCCCAGTTCTCAGGGTGCTTAAAATATTAACCCATTATTCTGCAAGTCCAATAGAATAGGATTTTAGAGTTGAACAGGGCTATTTCAAAAATCCCAAAGTGGAGAATGATATCATAACTGAACACTTACTGCACTGATGATATTCATCTCACGAATCCTCAAATTGCTGTGTCTAATAAGATTGGTTCACTGTGAGGGGGTTTTTTGGGGTGAATTTTGTCCTTCCATGAAGATATGTTCAAATCCTAACTTCAACACCTCAGGACTGGACATTATTTGAAAATGAGATCTTTGCAGATGTAGTCAATATGAGGGTACTAGTATGGGCCTTAATCAAATGTGACTGGTATCCTGATAAAAAGGGGGAAATTGGACAAAGAGATCCACAGAATGAAGAGATGTCTGTGGAAGGCCACTCCTAACAGGAATGAACCAGACTGAGTCACTGTGAAGGCCAGTCAGGCTGGAGGATGAGAGAATTGCTCCCTGGCTGGGCCATACAGTGGTGTTGACAAAGGTCAACTGTTGACAAAGGTCACTCTCCTTCTAAAACTACTCTGGCAATACACACTGAGAAGGGATTTAGGGTTTTTTCCCAATTCTCTGCGTGGATTTAATGGACACACAAACTGTTCGATGTGTTTACCTGTTGCTTCATTTAAAGTTGGCTCAAGGCGTATTGTTTCTAGAAAATGCTCTAAAATTTTTTCAGGTGTTCCTGACATCACAGTATACCTACATAAGAAAGTAAAAAACACTGTTAGTTTTTCATGCATGGACGAATCTTTAATAAAAAACTTTTTACAGATCTACGTTTTTTTGTTTTGTTTTCTATCCCAGTGAACCACCTTGACTTAAGTTTTGGGCCATATTCTCCTTATGGGAAGAGTGACCATGTGAAAAAGTCACATAGGAACAAGGGAAAAACCATAAATTGAAATAGTTAATGAAAACATTATTCTTCTTTCCCCTACATGGAACTAAAGTAAACTACTTGGAGAGTGATTCTAGCAGGCTGGGAACGGAGAGACTTCAGCCTTTTTCCGAAGGGGAATGAAAAGAACATGTAAACCCTGGGGCAGTTCAGGTCAGGCAGGGGGAGCTGGCGAGGGAAAGTGACAGTAAACGAGGTTATCCATATATGGGTTACTTGTAGCAAAACCTCAATCCCACACTGGATTCCCCTGCCTATTTCTGGAATGCTCTGTCTTTCCCAACTGTACACTGGTATGTGCTCTGGAAATGCAGCTAATAATAAAACAAGAGAAAAGAAAACAAAACCCCAAACAAACAAACCAATCCTATAGCATCTGACTAGGAAATAAAAAAGAAAAACAGTAGGAAATTTATATAATTTACTTCAATGTCAAATATAAATTATTTGGCATTTCACTGTTTCAGAACATCCATCAACTGGGAGAATTCATTTTTTAAAATTAAATGTGGGTTATTTCAAAGCCACATTCAAGATGGTAAGGAAACAGGGAATGAAAAGTATGGGCAAAGTACAGTGAGATGATCTGGTGTTCCTGTTTCAAAATTCTGACTTTGATTTTCTGCTTGGCATCTCACTTAAAGAATTACAGGGAAGAAAAACAACAATAAGAAGAACATTGTCTTATGTTCAGAGAGAAGCAGCAGAATTCAGCTCCAGGAGAAGCCAGTGTTCTTCATCTCCTCACCATATGCCCATCCTTTGCTGTGATGAGACTTTGGAGGGTATGTGTTGAGAGCCTGGGAACATCTCTAACAGACTCAATCTCAGGGTCTTAACCACCTGCATGAGGGAGTGAAGAGAGGCATTTCAACACATGACCCTGTACCTGTAAAGTAACTCTGGCATTGAGTGAGGTAGCAAGCACAGCCTGTCTCACAGGTAAATGCCAGTTATCATGTTAACATTAGCCTCTGTGTGTGTGTGTGTGTGTGTGTGCACACTCAGGGTCATAAAGAAGCTGAAGAGTTACGTCCTTAAGGAAACCTGGTTCTGGAGCCCAAGGGAGGACATATGAGGTTAAAAATAATAATATTCTACTCCAATCTCAAAAAAGTAGCCTTTTCAATGAGGAAAAAAATAATTAGAATAAAGTAAAAATCAAAATCAACAGGCAAGCATAGATCAGAGACATTATGTAGGGGAGGAGGAAGAGAGATCGGGACAGGGGTGGGAAGAGCACAGGGGACTATGGTGATGGTGCACGGGTGAACTGGTGGTGGGAATCTCACGGGGAAATCATACATTGTACAGAAATGAAGGATGAAATAAATATATTAAAAAAATAAAATGAGTTAAAAAATATTACCCTTTTCTCAAAGCAAATAAGATTAGAAAACAAAGGTTTCCCTTTGGTGGGCAGGGACTACTTGAGGAAAGAAGAGGGCATATCTATAAGTGACTTTCAACGCTCACTGGAGAACACTGCTGAATTCGTTGACTATTTCCTAAATGATCTGATTCCTTGACAGTGCTTACCACATGAGCTGGATAAAGAGCCACATCTGGCCACACATTAATAAGGAATTGGGTTTGGAGAGGGCTCTAAGAGCTGTCAGATTTCACTGTGCAACTTAGGTGGGGAAAGTGAATCATGTCATCATACTCATTCCTGCCAATGAAATATGATCTCATCCCACAGGTGGAGAAACTGCTCAGCAAGGAGAAGCATCAGGCCCACGGTTAGAGAGTTGGTCAGCTGGAGATCTCTGCAGGGAGCCTGGTAGGGTCACAAGTCCACAATGCTGTTAACCCCAGGCAGCCAGACTCTCTGGGCAGAGGCCGCACCAGGGGAGCCGGAGTGCATTCTGGACTGGAAGCATGCTGTGCAATCAAAGCCCTCTGTGAGGAGGGCTGGTCTGCTTGTTTCTGAAAACAAGTTTTATTTAAATAAGAGTCTAAATACATTAAAGAAAGGTGGCTTGGCATGTCACAGGACACTGGCAGCTGTTGCTAGTAAGCAGCAAGCTCTTTAGCTCCAGCCATGGGCAGATATATCTGTTAGTCAAAAGTTTAACTCTGATAAAAAGGTCAGTTTCCTATTCCAGAGATTATGGTTAGGACATTGCTTAGCTCTAGTATTAGGTCTGGTCAAAATGAAAAAGGCTTGAGTGGCAAGCCATATCTACGCTGTGGCCAGGTCAACCACAGCCCCAGGGGATCATTCTTTTGCTACCAAGGCGCCCTCTAGTGGCACAGCTGCTGGGGCTGCCTTAGCCCACCTCCTTCCACTTAGTCCCACAGAATGCTATTCAGGTGGGGTCTCTTAGGATGGGGAATTCTGAAGAAGATAGTTCAGAGAAGCAGCTCAGGGAGCTCTTAAGAGGCAGTCCAATGTAACTTCTGGCCAGACATAGATGTCTGGAGTTTTGTGCTCTGGGGTCCAAAACAGCGCTTGACTGCTTTGTTTTGGGCAAGCCGCAGCCTACTGCTTGACCTCTGTGTAAGTGAGGGACTTGAGGCCAGACAGCATGGCTTTTTTCAGTTTGTTACATGAAGAAACTATTCTAGCCTAAGTGAAAAGAGAATCCCAATGGGTTACATTGTCCAAGCTATGAAAGGAAGTTTTTCTAACACAAGTCTGGAAATAAGGCTGCTTCTACCCACACTTAAATCAAAAACTGAAGTGGGGGAAAGAGAGTCCGAAAGAGACCATCTTTCTACGCAGGATGGAGCTAAGCAGTAGGGTGTTTGATAAGGAAAAGCAACTGTGTAAAATAGGAATGGTCATTTCAAATGCTCTCTTTCTTACTAAAACCACATAATCACAGAGCAGAGGATATCCAAAATAGTAAAAATTTGAGAGCTCCATATAGTTTATCCATCATCAGAAATACCATGTGGCTACTGATTTTTTGATATCACACTCAGAGCTGAGTAGGGCTGGGACTGACTCATGTAGCTTTAAAAGTTTATTTTTTATTTTTTATTTTTTTATAGAGGCATGTTTTATTTATTTATTCTGTTTACACATGCACTGGGTACAGTCAGAGGCGCACCATGTGGGACCCTCCTCCGGTGGCCAGGGAGCAGCCGGGGATCGAACCGGCGCCGCAGAGGCCACGGGCAGCTTCGCAACCCAGCGCTCAACCGCTGCGCCACCGGGGAGGCCCCTCATGTAGCTTTGAAAGTTTAAAACGTATATATAAACTGTGCTGGATTTCTCAGGGGAAAAGTCAGAAAAATATTATCGACACCAACATAGTGACCCACTTTGAGTTCAAAATGGACAATTTCTGAGGAAATGGAAGTCCTAAAATTTCCCAAATTTGAGCCCATCATAATCACTGCCATGTTGTCAAAGCTGTCCGGCACGTCAGCTTAAAATTCACATACACATGCCCCTCCTTCCTCCTACTGTTCCACTCCTGCCCCTGCAACTCCTACCCTCCCACCCCCAGCTTTTGACCTGACTCGGGAAAGTTCAACATGAAAAACAATCCCTTGGGAGGGTGGCTTTTTACTCTTTGGGGACTGATTTTGTGTGGTGCAGTATTTTGTACTCATTGATATTTCGTAAATGCATTGCTGTGAACATGTACATGTTTTTGAATTATATAAAATATGTGGGTCGGTCTATAAGGAGACAAAATGGAAATCAGATCCAGTCCTAAAATAAATTTAATTCATGTGGCTTCTCCTTTTCTGTTTCCTTATTTTGCTTTCATGAAAAATCCGTACCTGGAGGGTTCTCTGAATGGAAGATGTAATAAGCAAATACCTTTGACCAATGCCATGCACAGCTGAAGGGACTTTGGGTCACTTGTTTCAAAGTTAAGGAGAATTTTTAAGGTTTCCATTTCGGGTAGCAAATTTTTTTTCGAAGACACTATTTAAAATGAAGATTATCACTATTAATATATTTAAGAGCACTATGGAAAATCATTGGGGGTAGCTCCAACCTTCACACACAAAATGTTCTCATTCTTATCCTCCTCTGGGGGCTGGAAGGACAAGTATTAAAAACACTTGAGCAAGAACATTTCAAGAATGGAAAGCAGCGAAACACAAACAAACAAAAGAATTCTGGCTGGTAAATGTAAGGGTTTGTAGGTGAAAGGACAGTTCTGTATATACTTCATTTCACATCAACCCTTTTGAAATATGTTGGTTTGCAAGGTTTACCGAAGAGTGTTGCAGATACAGTATTTATATACTATTGTATTTTTGCTATAGTAGGTTTCCAGACTGGAGGAGCAGAGGTTGGGAAGTTGGTCAAGCTGAATTTTAATTTCAGCTTTGCCATCATAGCTTTGTAATCTTGGGCAAGTATAAGTAACTTCTCTGAGCCTGAATTTTCTCTATCTGTTCAAAGGGGTTGTAATGAAGATTAGAAAAGTATGCAAAAACCCTACAGCTATTCAGTAATATATTTCTTCCCACTTTCTTTGAAAATGTGTTGATTCATCCAAATGAAAATGTCTAAATCTTAGGCTTTTAGTTCCAACAATAAAAATTCACCAGTTACATTAAGTGTGACAATTAAAGGAAACTCTGTTTACACGGCAAACAAATAAAAATAACTAGGGAGGCACTCTTTTTCAACAGATTGCTTGCGACATTTCCTTAGCTACAGTATTGGTGTTATTATTCTAAGATTGAAAATTAATCTCCATTTAAAACACTAAATTCTGTAATTTTCTACAATTTCTTAGAGTTACGTGTCCTAATTCTCTTAATATGCAAATATTGGCACAGTGGATGAAAGAGACTTATGGAGGAAGTTGCAGTGAAAGATGTAGATATACTGAGCAAGACTCAACAGGGGACCTGAGAAATGTGAAGGAAATACTACTGTGACATTAGCAGGAACACATGTGAATGAGGTCAAATGGACACTTCCGGGCTGCAATCATTAGACTGATTTATATTTGAAATCCATGTCTCCATCAATGGTGCCTACTCGGATAAAAGGATGAAAGCACTTCTTGAGAAATCCTACATCTGACACTCAACTACTAAAGGTTTTCATCACCTACTGGCCTATGTATCCTTTGAGCTGTCCAGTAATCCTATTTCATTGTTCTTCCTAATGCCTTCCTTTCCAAAGCTATTACAGTTGAACACTGTACACAGAGAGCATTTTTTGAGTAGGGAATAGTCCCCCCAGAATTACTCCAGGCAGCACCAAGCTCAATGCTGTGCCAGAAATGGATACATTATACTCCACAAGATGTGTGATTAGTCAATAGAGAGAAAAACAAGTCACACACACTGCTGTCTTCCACAAAAAAGGAGAACACGCTATTGTAGAAATGATGATACCATGTGAAAAGGTTAATCATAGTCTGGCAATTGCAGTGCTGGATGCAAACCTACTTTTGCTGAGGCTGTGAGTTTCCTTGATTAGAAGCCCTGTTCCCTGCTGGGACCTTCTCCAGCACCAAGACATCTTGGTCATGTTCTTTAAGTCTGACTGTATTCGCCTCAACGTCCTGCAAATACAAATTACACCACATACAGATGCTGCAGTTTTTCTCAGACAATGAAAAAAATTTCAAATGCTTCAGAAACTCATTTAGTGCTTGTGATGCTAATTGTTGCGTCTACAAATTAAGTCATTTTCAAAGTCAAGGGCTGGAACAGTCAGAGAGAGGACCAGATGAGGTTTGAGACAGGCGGTTTTAAAACTGCCTTTATCCCAGATTCAGAAAAGCAGCAGAGCAGAGAGAGAGGAGTGCAGTTGCGTTCTGGGAAATCTTTGGGAAAGGGAGGATAGCAGAAAGATAGGGAAGCAAAGGCATTTATTTATTCTTTATAAAAGTATGTGGCAATAGCACTCAGCTTCAGCAAAGTTCTTTTGTTCTGATTTTTTTTCTGAAGGTATTTAGTTTCCTTTGGAGGAGCACCTTTTCTCTCTAATCAAAAGACTTGGTTTATTTTTTTTTTAATTGGTTTGAAATGTGTTAAGACATTTTCCAGTTATTTTGAATAAATTTATAAGCTACAGCAGTGATTATGGTCCCAGTCTGATTCTTTCAAAGAACTTTTTGGGTAAAGGTAAAGTCCACTGTGTAAACTTAAAAGAATGAGTGACATTTAACCATTAAATTTCAATGTCATTTAAAGTATTATTATGCTTTTTCTATTTCCTCCCCATTCTAGATAAGAACCATGTGGTTCTTCTCCAGGTGGCGTGTTTTTTTTCTATATTAGTCAGTGGTATAAGTGGTATTTCATTAAGAAAACACAGTTCTAAGATAAACTTTGTTGTCAGAAATTTTGCCACCAAATGCAAATGCTTAAGGTTTTATAGGGATAGGTGTCCACCTATAAAGAATGGCAAACACAGCAAATCATCATTAAATAATGCCAAAAATAGCAGAAGGCACCAAAACTATATTTCTGATGCTAGGGGGCTAGAGAAAGAGCTAAGGCTGGGGCTGGGGGCAGAGGAAGTAGTCTGCTCTGTGAGCTAGCCAGGAAGGGAAAAGAGCAAAGTTATCCTAAAGGGAACACTCTCCCCTGGGTGAACTAAGCTGGGGTGAGATGGACTGTGGGTCACCTGATGGGACCGGGAGCCAGAGGTGATGGGACATTAACATCATCCCCAGCATCCCATGACTAGGTCTCTACCAGCCAAAGCTGGGTCACTTTTCCCAAAGGGGCCAGAGGCTGCTTAGTGGAGAATGACCAGGGACCATCTCCTCAAATGTCCCTCACTCTCACAAACACCTTAACAAGTCTAGGTAGGTCCATCTGTAAAGCCAATTTGCTTGCAATTTCATGGTTCCCTCTACTACCTCAATTATTCTTTGCCTGCATGCCAACATCTGAAATTTCTTTAGTGTGAATCAACTAGATATAAAGTACTTGAAATGAAAAGGCTTGGTTGGAACAACCACAATTAATATTTAATTCCCCCTAAAACATAATCACTCAATCAAGAGAGTGTGTGTAATGATATGAGAAAGATTCAGATTTGGAATGAGGCAGGAGAGGACACAGGAAGGTCTAGGATAAAGCAAGACATGGGGCAGAGGGGCCACCGCTGCGTTGGAGAGTGAGGTGGGGCAGGACACTAAAAGGGAAGCCTGAGATGGCTAAAGAGAAATGTCTCAGACTTGACATTTTACCAAGGCAATTCCTATTTGTCTTCAATTCCCACAGACTAGTTCCGGTGTGTGCAGTTACTTGTGCCAGCTCAGCATGCCACATTCGCAACATTACTGCATCATCAGCACATGGACCATCTCAGTTTTTGAACCAAAGCTCTTTGTTCCTAGAGTATTCATTAACCACAGCACTGCTCAAATAACACTGCACTCAAATCTTTGCCTATTTGGCAAAAGGGAAAATGGGAATCCTCTCAGACGCACTGCCTGGGACTCACCCTCAGAATCCGGTTGAAGTCCTCCTTGTCTACTCTTAAGAAATGGCAATTATCTTCTCGCAAGACGATAGAGGCAGCTCTCGGGGCATCATTAACCAGCGCTAACTTGCCAAAGTCATCTCCCTCATGCAGGGTACAGACCACACCCTGGAGAGAGCAGTACAGTCAGATGAAGGCAACCTGTAAAAAGGAACAAACACCACCCACTCCTCACCATGAATCCCCCTCCCCCTAAGACACTATATGTATAAATGGACTTTTCCCAGGGATATTGAAGGGAGGTTATATAATTAAATTATAATGTTTTCTTTTGCTTTCATTGAATAATGTGGTATATGGCCTGATTTTAATGTACACCTTATAATATATGTGGAGTCTCAGTTCAATGCAATTCTGAGTATAATAAATCTAGATAAGTTGTGATTAGAGGTGCTATAATGTCTCTTCTACCTGTAGTAACAATGTTGCTGCAAGTTTAATTGTAGTGCTGCATTGTTAATACTTAATGCCATACTAACAAATGGAGCATAGTAAAGTTTCAAAAAGAAAAAGATATATATACCTTGCCGTAAATGACTACATTCACTGATCCTTTCAGAATAATGTACCAGGAGGTACCTTCTTCCCCCTGGTTAAACACTGGATACAAAAAGATGAAAAGACTTATGACAAGAATAGAAGCACATCAATATAAATTACAGCTTATCAAATCATCAATTTTAAGTCCTTAGAATGACACATTTATTCTAGAAGAAAAAAAAATTACTGGAAAACACTAACTTATTCGGGTGGAATATTATTTCCTTTTCTACAGAACATGAAAGAAACAGAAACATGACATTACTCGCTATGCCCTAAAAGATAGGCTTTTACTAGATATAAAGTCACCAGCAATCCATTTCTTAGAGCAAATACTTCTCCACAATTCATCAAAACTTATGATGCTATAGAAAATAGTTTCAAAAAGTAGTCTGACTCATAATGTGGAGTTTTAAATAGTACTACCTATTGTTTATGGACACACAGCTACCTATTTTTTCAAAACGGGTTGGAATAATAACTCCTATGTTAATAGGACAGGAGAAACCTTGGGGGAGCAAAGAAAAGAAAGCAAGCATGGAGAGAACAAGAGGCTTCAATTGCATGTACAAATTTTAGTCAACTGCATGTACAAATATTAGAAAATATGAATAAAATGAGTGTTAGTGTTTGATAACAATTTTAAAAGTATATGTAATAATCTATTTTTACTTGAAATATTTAAATATTTCATAATAATATGAAAACAACAAGCAAGTACAAAAAAGATAAAATAGAAAGGTAAGAAATCAGTGACCATGACGATAAAAAAATTAAGATGAACCTTTAAAATGTAAAGAAAGGACATTCTGACCAAAATAAATATCAGTGTTAGAAATATCACTTTTGATCACTGAAAGTAAAACACTCTGAGATATAATTTTCAAAACTTTTTGCTTTTATAATTTATGTTCCATTGTACCAATTAACATGACTTAGCCTGAAGAAAGAGCAAAATTTTCCAAAGAATGTCTCTTGAAAAGTTAAAAAGTGTCCATGAAAATAGTTGCTGTTTCACTAAGTTTGGGAAGTGTCAATTTAAATGGACTGATCATTTTTCCTTATTGCAGAACTTCTGAGAATCTTAGCATGTTGTGAAGTCTGATGATTCTCCAAGAAAGGTTACAGAAGGTGGCACTTTCTAACCTGATTAGACTATTAACTCTGTTTTTCAAGAAGGATTTTGTAGGACTAGCAGGAAATAATATCTAAATAATTTTGTTCACATTTACTGATACCAAATTTCAAATTCTTCCAAATATGAACATAGCCATAAACTATAACTTGGATTCTGGAGAGACCTATATTATTGGTACTGCATAAATATCTGGGGCCAAGAAAATTTTCTCGGGCTTGGAGTTGACAGTGAAAGTGAGAAGAAAATGAAAGCAGGATAATTTATCATTTTAATTAGCAGTTCTCAAGAGATGGATAAGTTCAAACACTTCAAACGGAAGAGAGTTCACCATGAAAAGGTCCTGCTGAGGGTCATGCCTGAAGAGCACAGACTTCATCCCCCCTCTTTTAACACTGCTTTGAGTGAGCCTGGTGGGGACAGGGGAGAGAGGTGGGCATTCTAGCTGGCAACCACTGCGGGGCTGGTTCCAGGAAGCCAGCATGCTACAGAGTACCAGATACATGCTGCAATAACCACAGGTCCAGGAAAACGGAAGTGCCACATGACTTCCTGCCAAGTCAGACCCTAGGCCAAGAAAGGGAAACATTTGCAGGCAAGCTCCATGACATATGCTCCAGGGGGGAGACTAGTCAGGCCCAGTGTGCCATTCCCACATTCACTCACACACAGTTCCTCCTTTGGCATGAGACTCAAAAATTAGAACTCCTGCTAACTCCCGTTTCACCTAGAAGGAAAAAAAGAAAGAATGTGGAAAGGCCATCTTTGGGTGGGTAAAGGGACTGCTCTCTTTCTGAACAGTGCTATCTGTACTGCGTCCCACACGGCCACTCTCTCCCCCTGGGCCGCTCCTGTCTGGCAGGAATATTTACACTAGATTTGTGGCCGATTCTTAAAGCTCTTAGAAAAATTATTCTGTAAACCTATTCATTTAAGACAACCTCCCTAGAGACTGTTTAAGACACGATTTCACATGTATGAATTAGCCAATTTCTCCACTTATCTTTTTAAAAAAAATTTTGAGGCTACATTTTATTTTTAAGTAATTGATATATGTCCAGCCAAACCAAACTGCTTTAGTTCTTTTCATAATATTTAAGGTTAATAAAATAAACACCATGATGATATGCTTTCACTTTTCCATGTTTCTAACTTACCCCAATTTTAAAGTAAGATTTATAGCCATGAAACACATTCTGAGGCCTAAGGCAATTATGTTTCAGCCTCATGCTCTGCCTGTCTTTGGTCTGGGGTGGGAAGGTGAGTGCATCTGTGGTATCTGCAGCATCACGTGGCTGTTGCTATCACAGGCTCCTCCCTGTGTCGCACACGATGCATCATCGCAAACATGTTAGAAAATTCAAAGTCCAGCAGTTGAGCAATTAAGCTTAAATGTGTGAGGATGTTTATATTCCTAGGTAGTTCATTTTTTAAAAATTCCAAAATACGGTTCTCTCTAAGAACCAAGGAAACTAAGAATTTCCCATGGTACCTGAGTACTTGGGGTTTGAGGAAGAAGAAAGGAGTCTTCCCTCACCATACTCTACAGCATGTGCTTGTAGCACCTACACAGCAGGAGCTCCGGGGACTAGACCCATCCTACCTGGACAGAGTGAAGCTGGCAGGGCAGTGGCAGGCAGGAGGTGGGCTGGACCATACCCCTGCACAGTCCATGTAGGTGAGCCACCTTCTGGACTGCCAGCGTGCAGGGAGGAAGGTGAATTCTGTCTGGGTTGAAGGCAGAAAGGGTTGAAGCCCTTCTGCTTGCATCTATGACAAATGCCTGACTGCTGTCAGCAGAGACTTGAACACCCACCCCCTCCAGTGCTCCCAGAGCTCTGACCATGTGGCAGATGACATCACCCAGTGAACTGGGAAGAAAAGACCCAGGAGCATGTACATCCCACTGAGGGGCCTCGGTTCAGTGTGTGATCTGTGACTATGGAGCCTTTTCCTTTCCTCCTCCCCCTCCTCTTCTCCCCACTCCTCTTTTCCATCTCATTATTTACTGACAGTACATACTGGGTTGTTGGAAATGTCATGATACATTTTTGCTTGAAAAACATAGGAAAAAAAAAAAAGTCATGACTTTTCCAACAACCCAATAGGAGACTTATGTTGCCTGAAAAGTCTGTTCCTATGTTCCTCCTACGGGAGGAGGTGTTTCTATTCCTATTCGGAGATCAAATTTCCATCCACTGCCTTCCTAAATATCCTAATCAGATAGAAGCTTAAGGCTGGTGTCTTCCTTTGGGCCATTTTTTACTAGTGGGAACTGCTACTGTGCCTTAACATGTCTGGACTAATGTTCTTTGGAACCCCTGCTTCCTTTAATGGGGTAGCAAACTCAGGGAGAGCAGGCCTAAAGGCCAGGCCAGGACATCTTGATTTCTCTCTGCCTTTTCTCTTCCTTTCTCCACATTTCATGGAGGGGTCTCAGAGCCCCTCTTAAGACCTCTTTGTTTCATCTAAATACATAGGTTCCAAGACTCATATTTGTAAGGATGAAGTATATGTTCCAATTCTGCTTACATCATACTGTTTGGGGGATGAGGATATGTGGGAAACTACTAATGTGATAACACTTGATCCCCTCTGGGTGACTGTTCTGAGTATAACTTCCTTCGCATCTCGTGAGAGAGTGATTTATGAGGAAGAATTCAGGCATTCCTTCACCCTCCCCCACATACCACAGTACTCTGCCAATTCTAACTCAAAGTTGCCCTCACCCTGCTCAACTAAGAGACAACTTACTGTGGTAGAAAGATGGGATAAGGCCTTAATGTGAAGGAGCTCTTCATAGATAATCTCTAGGTCATCCACAGTCCTCTGGCCAGGTCTACAAAGAAAAAAGGAATAGAGAAATAATGAGAAAAAAGTAAAAAACTTGAAGTGCAGAAATGGATTCAGGGGTCAATCAATGTTCAGAGATTTTATAGGAGAAATCCCTATAAAAAGACATTGGTTGCAGGGGCAGATTATGCCATTACAATCCTTAAAGGTATTTTTTTTTGAACAAATGTCTTCCTTGGTGAAAGAACGTGGGACAAATCAGATGCGCACACAGCTGCTTTCCCTTGCAATCGCAGAGGGGAAAGCATCTCCACTCACATTGTAGTTGGCCGGCTTACTGCTCACTTCATAGAAGACTGCTCCAAAGCTGCTTTCAATACCACCTTCACCAGTAACAACAAGTGTCTTTTTACAGCACTAGGAACAATCAATTTCATCAACTGGATGATGGATCCAAATTTCTTGGGATCCTGTGTGACATCTTATACTAATAGAACAATAGTGAAGCTGTCACTTATGTTTGGGGCTATTGACATGCTTCTAATCAGAGGACTCAAATAAAGGGCATATATAGACTCAAAGTTTCCTCACTGATCCCTGAGGAGGTCAAGGCATGAGCAGAAAACTAATAGTAGTGTCTGAGATTAATAAGAAAGGAGTAGGAGAGGAAAGGGATTTATATCCACATTCCCCTAACTCTATTCCATGGAAAACTAATGTTCCTCCCAGGTGATGTTAACCCAGCATACTATGTGTAAAGTCCTTTTCCATGATTTATTATAAAACTAGTATCAAACATTCTGCCTTTAAGAATGGGGTGTGGGGCTGCCAGAAGCAACAAAGAAGACTGAGGATTCCTAATTATCTTCCAGGTCTGTAATTATTCTGTAATCACTAATAGTGTCTACTTATATGTCAATAATAATAGCTATGATTGGTCAGTAATTTGTATTTTTTTTTATTGCTCTTTACAATAAAGGCACCCTTACTCATGTGTTTTTGAAACTTAGAAATAAACATGTTTTTAATTCTGAGCGCCAGGAAGTCAATCCCGGTATTTGCAGGCAGGCAGCATTTACTCTGAGCTAATTGTTGTAGTCACAGGTGCTACCTATTCCATAATCACCTGTCTATTTTATGCATTTTGTCGAAAAAATTTCCACAATTTATGTCTTAATCAATGTTGCTGTATATAAAATATTTCAATCTTAATGAACTGCTGATGGAGATCTACCACTACCTTACATTACATTTTAAAAAGAGGTCTTTTTTTCAAATTAACTGAGGGAGTGGTGGTGTACCAAACAGTGGATTTAAAGAGGAGAGAACCTTATATAAAGCACTGAATTTAAAGTCTGGAAGATCAAGTTTTCATCTCAAAGTAACCGCGTGTTATCAAAGCCTCAGGCTCATCTGTAAACAGGAGACAATACCTTCCTGAGAGACATGTGAGAACTAAAAGAAGTAGCAAAAGTGAAGACCCTTGCATATTTATTTGTGTACATGAAAAAAAATCCAGCAAATGCTATTCAAGACTCACACCCTTGCACAAGAAGTTAAACTTCAAAAAAAGTATGACATATGGCCCAGCAAATTTTTATCTGCTATTTAATGAATGATTAGATAAGTGCTCTGAGCCTCCAATGCTGAATTGCAAATATTCTAAGATAGTTATTTAGATTAAATAAATTTGCAACCATTATAATATGGGAGAGATGACAAGAATTAGGGGCTTATTGGAGGAAGAAAACTCTTCCCATACCTTGTCTATCACCTTCTCAAGGACAGCTTTAACATGGACAGAAAATATGATATCCTTCTCTTAACGGTATTAAAGGATACATTTCCTTAATCCTTACTGTACAAAGATGGGTACTAAATCCATGATCCAAGATGAGGCCAGCCAGTTTCACCTCCAGCCAAGGGTCACTCCTGAAGGACACAACTATGTACTGATCTAATGTTTAATAGTGAAACTCAGTTAAGTATGGGACTCAGAAAGACACTGAAGAAAAGGCTATGGCCACAGGGGCTCTGGAGGAGCCAGGCCTTCTCAGCAAGGGGCTTAATCTACTACTTGACTTAGACATGGGGATTTTGAAGCTAGGACCCTTGGGGATTTAAAAGTCAATTGAGTCACCTCAGTCCATCTACTACTATAGAGACAGCTCATGTGGAAGACTCAAGGTAGGCTTAATGGGATTACAGCTCTTCAGCGCAAGGCACAGGCCTGCTGTTTCTGCTAGTTGACATCAGCTGCAAATAGCCCAAACACTCTTAGAAGGTTGGCTAAAGGAGAAAACGGTCACCAAGTCTCCTCACCTCCATGGTGTGGAAAGTTACGGAGGGAGGAGAAAAACTCAGCTGGGAAAAATAAGGGTTGCAATTTGGCTCTAAAATCTTGACTGATTTATTAAAGTTGGAATTTTGGGAGCAGATCTCTGAGTTTAGGAGTGTTTACCTAATATCAATATGCAATCCACACTGATGTAATCTTACAGATTAAAAAAAAAGATACTGTCTTTAGAATTTACAAATGCTTTTCTTTTTAAAGATTTATTTATGTATGCATACAAGAACTGGGGTACAGGCCAGAGATGCGGAGGGGGGGCATTGGAGAGGATTCACCAGAGAGAGTGGGGAGCAGAACAGGCAGATCTGCTGAAATACACTGCTAAGGGGAGCAGTGGGAGAGAAAGGAGAGGTCTGCTGCGCCATGTGGGTCAGCTCCCTGGCAGGGTATCAAAATTGTGCTGCAGTACCTGCAGATAGCTTTATAGTGGTGAGAATTAACCCCTTTTGCTACCAGGAAGGCCCCTGGAATCTACAAATTTTATTTTATTAAAAAAGATTCTATGTCTGTCAAGACTTAAAACATATGATTAAGAAATTGGTGAGATCCTCAATGCAACATATAAAAAATCTGATATTAAGGTTCCAGGCTGCCTTTTGAGACATTAATTTTGGGAGCAGCAACAAGGCATAGGAACCGACAGCAAAGATGGTAATATTCAAGCTATTTTTGAATCTACTCAGCTACCTGCAGCCCTGCACCCTTGAGTACTGCCCAGAGAGCTTCTCCCCTTCCAGGCTCTCCTCTTTTTCTAGACATTTCTTCTCAATGGCTTTTTGGGTCTATTTTTATTAGTGTTCACTTCTTGAACTGTACTGTGTCTCAGAGTTCTGCTTTTAGTTTTGTTCTACCTCTCTCCCTGGGAACAAGCTCCAACATTCATCTATACAAATATTGAGACCTAAATCTTTATGTCCAAATACATCTTTTTCTTGAGCTCCAATAGCTTCCTGGCCATCTCTTTCTAGATAATGCACAAACACCACAAGCTCAATCTGTCCAAAAGAAGTGCCCCCTCATCACACAAGGATCTTTAAAGCGATCTCAATTTACTTTGCCAGATTCTTCTGTCTCCCCTCTGTTCACACCTCCTCTCATGGCCATGTTCTCTGCTCCAGTCCTACAGACATTTCTTATGCTTTTTCATGTCTCCAAGACTTTTCATATGCTTCTCTCTTTTCCTAGGATATTTTTCTTCCCAACTTCAGATGTCAACTCTTCTATTTGTTCTCCAATCTTTACTATTCTATCATTCACAATCTTACTGCTGTGGTAATTACACAAACTGTGAAGAATGCTATTTGCTAAAATATCCATAACTCTAGATCATTTTTCTCAAGAGATGTAACATCTGGAAGTGCAAAGGGCACCAGATTAAAACAGAAACTAGATTTGATATCAAAATCATGGACTTCCTAGGTGCCCCAACTGGACTAATGCCTGTTTCTGAAATTATAATAAGGGATTAATAAACAGGTATGCTGTAAAGATCCAATAAGTTAAAAAAACAAACAAACCAGGAAGTAAAGATGTATTGGAAATTGACACAGATGTGGGAAGACATCAGGGCGGGTGCTCAATATGACTCATCAGATGAATGAACACATGAATTCTCACAATCCATGCTGCCCTCAGCGTCTGCCCAAGGGAGATGGCAGCACTACCACCAACTATTCTTCTTTGGTAACCTGAGGGGACTAGAGGCCTGTACTCAGGCATCCTTCCTACTGAAAGATAGGTAAGATGGAGATACAAGACATGACTCACTTCCAACGCAGCGCATACTTGTGCCAAGGCAAAAGATTATTAGTGGAAGAAGGAGATAAGATGGAAATATTGACCCTCATCTCTCTCTCCAACTCCCATTGAAAGAAAGAAAAGATCCATCTCTACGGGATTATAGACTTATTTATCCAGCTGTGAGGAAGACATAATCACGTTAGACCAGCTTAAGTTACTCAGTCTAAATCAAGATGGGGGAGCTGCATGGAGGTGACCCCTGAAGACCAAGCAATCAGTAGGTAGTCGATGTACCGTCAGGTTATTGTCTGCCTTGTGAAGACTTGATAGGGATGATCTCTTAAAATGCAAAACAGCACTGAAAACCAACAAGCGCTTCTACCAACAAACCACAAAAGTACTAGCAGCTGGCAAGGTGTTTTAGGAATTCTTAGACGATAGAAAGCAGATAGGAATCAAAGGTCTGAGAATGCCTGGAAGCAGCCACAACTCAGCATTCACAGAAGAAAACCCTCACGGGAGCAAGACAGCATCACAGACAAGACAGGGCAGGAAAGGGTCGGAGTGGTCCAACACAGACAGCTCCACTCAGGTCAGCAGGCAGCACAGCCCTTCCCACACCCCACACTGAGAAGGGGGCAGTGGCAGAGTTTACTGCTAGTCGAAGACTGAAACTTGCTCTCTAAGACACAGGGAAGAGCCTGAGAGTGAAGCTGAATAGAGCGTGTGAGAATTCTGGGCCCGTCAGGGAGCGAGTCGTGGAGAAGGAAAAGGAGCAGCAGCTCTCCTAGAATGGAACTATCTGGAAGGGCTCCATTGTGAGAAACCCTTGTTTTGGCAACTCAGGGTAGAATGGGGGTGGCTTCAGCCTACCTGCTCCCCACAAACTCTCAGAAAACAGGGCCTTCCAGAAAACATGGTCCACTGCAGAGTCCCTCATTACTCTCAGGAGT